TTTGGTTCATCGACCCATTTTTGGCAGAACACTTAGAGCAGATCTTATTCATGGTTCCGATTTGGAAAAAAGACTGTTGAGCTTAATGCATTAAAGCTGATATGTTACTGTGAGCTAAAAGTCGATTACGAACTCTAATCGTTGACGTTTGTTGTCTTTCCCTCTAATCTCGTAGGCGTTGGGAACGGTCAGAACTCGACTCCCTAGTGTGAATTTGTATATTTATATTATTATGCTCTTCAAGCCACTGCAAACACTCTTGACTCTCTCCGACTTGTAAGACTATTTTCAGTTTCCGGTAAAGATTCCTCATTACGACGTATTTTTGATGCCCTCGCCTAGGAACTATTTCTAGAAAAATGAGATCTTTAAAATGATAAAAAAAATTAAACTGCCTTTGTATTTAATAATTTGCTAACTATCGAACAGGAATTACCAGTATAAATATGACTGAAAAATTATAAGAACTATTAAGTCAGTCACTGGGCTGTTTGGATAGTTAAATTCCAATAAACTTAACAATAACATTAACGTCAGGCGTTTGCCACTTTCTCACATAAAAGAATATTTTAATTCAGAAGTGTTTCACTATGGTAGTGCCACGAGACAGCTTCTACTCTGTTGTACGAATGGGCAAGCTTGCCCGGGGAGGTACCGCTGCGGTACTCTCAGAAGTGTGATGTGATCATGAAGGTCAGTTTTTTATAGGTTGTCAACGCTCCTGTGTGTCAACATATGTGAAGTCCACCAATCCGCAGTGGGGCCGCGTGGTGGACGATGCTCTGATACCCTCTGTATAGAGGAGGCCTTTTCCCAGCAGTGGGACATGTATAGGCTGTTACTTTACTTACTTACAACGCTCCTGTGAACCCTTAAGGGCTGTAAATGTCTACGGAGGCCGTTCATCAATTAACATCAAATGAAACGCTTGCTCGCTTAACAATTTATTTGGCCTTGGGAAAACGACAACAAGGTTTTTATTAATTATTAACCACCATTATTGGTGCAGTGTACATATTCTTTCATGATATAATACATATCTAGCCATATTAAACTGAGGTAACTGTAGTAACCAAAATTACAGAGCCATTATTTCAGAGAGGTGAAATGGTGATTCTTTCACAAAGGACGCTTGTGCACTACTATTCGAAATTTTGCGTTCCGGCTGTTCGACTTTTACGATCAGATGTGACAGGCCTACTATTTCTACGCTGTATGTGCTCCGTCCCTACCCTAACCTGCAGCTGTATTTAGATTTTCCGAACTGCAAACATGCATTGCAAATTAACTAGGTTTACGTTTACATATTATATCGGTTCAAGAACAATGTGAACTTTATTAGTGTTTTGAAATAAATCCTAATAATTATAATTTTTAAAAACCGACTTCAAACAGGAAACTAAAAACATTGATAATACCTATAATATTTGAGGATTGCCCTCGATTTCTCTGATACGCCAACATCAGATCCGGTTCCTTATCATGGTACCACCCTTGGGATATCTCCTCGCCAACAAAAAAAGAATTATCAAAATCGGTTTATAAATGACAAAGTTATCTGCGAACATACAATAAAATATATATACATATACGGTCTAATTGAGAAGCCTCCTTCTTTTTTTAAGTCGGTTAAAAATATCACTGCGGCTCGTCGATGAGGCTAGTTGACGTAGGTTCCTGAGACGCCTTTCAGTTTATGACTTCTGCACTACACATGATTGATAAATGTATTTTATTTGCTATTTATTATTTTAAATTGAAATAGCTATTTCATCAAAAATGCAATTGGTATGACGAAAATTGGACTGAATTGTATGAAATATATATGAATACAAATAACTTTAAATCTAACGGGCTAGTGAAAAAGAACTACGCAGTCGTTATTAATGTCTTTAATGACTAATTTTCGAATTGCTGGTCACTGTCTAGTGTACATATTTTACAGAGTATATAATTTTTACATAACTTTTACAATAAATATTTGATAATTATCTGAGACGCCTTTACTATTGAAATTTATGATTATGTTATTTTAAGTGTTACTCTTTGCACTAAATATGTAATTTTTCTTGTCGATATTTTTTGTAAAGAATGAATATGGATGCCGCAGGATTGGAACTGTACATAGATTTTGGCGGCATGAGGTCGTCGGCCGTTTCGATACGTAGGTTAAAGCGTCTAGATGCTGTGACATATACTCAAAATCGTATAACAAACAGTGCGTTACCCCGTAAATTGTGGTTCCAAAAGGTTTAATCCAGATCCCCATCAAGCTTTCCTTCGCTGCTGGAAAATATTGCAGTAAAACCGTACGCCTGAAAACTAACATGGATCGAACATGTTTTTTTAAGGAAAAGTGAAAACATATGAAACTATATTAGTATTTACTTAGTTAATTTGTAAGTTAGTAAGTAAACTCTAATGCTAGATTGTAAATGCAGTTTTAAATTCTAGAGTGAAATTATTTTGAATACTCTTGCCTCCCTCTTTTTTTCTCCTAAAAAAGCTACGAATAAATAAGTAAATAACAGTTAACGTTAATACAGTACGAAAATTTGTGCTGAGGGAAAAATGCTGCCAATTGCAGCATTCTATTATTGTAAATACAATTGTAGTAACTCAATTATTACTCTATGTGTAAGTGTTTCAATGTTTTTTATTTTTAAAAGTGAGTGCCATTTCAAAAAAAACTCAAAGTTTATAACATTATATTACATTATACATATTCACTTATTTTTGTAGCACGTTAAACAGACATTAGTATAATTGTGTTTGATGTTAGCGAAGAGTAATTACAACATCATTATGAGTTGCAAAACTCTTTATTTTTTTATTTAAAAGTTGAAATGTTTTTCTATTACTCTATACAAAAACATTTCAACTTTTAACCTCTCCATAAAATATAGTTGACATGTTGTGATGTAATGATTGTATTAATTTTATGACAATGGTCCGTCCCAAAATATGTTTTTTTTTAATATAATATGACCACGATAGCTTAAGCAGCAGCAGATAAAGTTCTTAGAATATTCCACTGCAACATAAAGGGCGAGAAACCTCGCTTTCATAAAAGCTGTCTCTATTTTTGATTTTGAAATGATTTGAAACTAATCACTAAAGCTTAATTACTTAATGTTATTTTTCGTATCAGTTTGTGCCTATGCTCTTATTCGAGAGGTTACAATCAACTAATTGGTCCGTAAAAAGAATATTAGGGATTTTTTATATAAGATAAACTTTTCAGGAGGAACTGAAACATTTGCGGCTATAATGAAGATTCATATTTTAGATAATTTGAAATAAATAAAAATACACCCTTTAAAACCTTTTAATTATTCCTAAGTAAAGAAATTGAAAACACGTGCTTATCGCATCTAATCCATAAAATTTGATAGTGAATCATCATCAATAAGTAGTATAGACAAGGTTCCTTGATTCCAGGTTAATTCATTAACAGATTTACAAAATTTTATTTTCAATTGATTACATAACAGACGTTTTTAAAAGTTTTTTTTAATTAAATAATTGTCCCATGCACAACTCACCATTATTTTTTAAACTCACCATTATATTGTAAACGGCAAAAATCCTGAAATAAAAAATAAGACGGGCTTCTAAATTTTTCAAAAGTTCACACACCAAAGCCAGCGTACGTAGCCGCAAGGAGTGAGTGTCACGTGATTATATCAGTACATAGTCCCCAACCAAATGGCGTCCTCATGTCTGGAAGCTATTAAAGCTGAAACCTCATACGAGAGGAGCAAATTAGACTAGAAATTCAATTTCAACATTTACGTTTAACATGCTACAAGATTTTGCGCAAACTTCATAGCGAATAGAATAAGTTCCAACGGATTGTTTAGTATTTCTACTCACGTTGCGAAATAATATATTTTACTACCATTTAACTGATGCGTGACATTTTTTATAAGCCCTTTACATGTGCTAACTGTTACATATACTTAGTGTATATAACACACATTAGCAAGCCTAATACCTAGTCTTTCGCTCGCCATCATGTTTTGAAAGTACTAGACGTCTCTTTCATTTTTTCTTTTAAGAGAAGCCATTCATTAAAGAAATACAAAGAAAATTACTTTTTTTTACAATAAATATTGCTGCATTCATTGTCCTGTGTTTAGAGAGCTTTTATAAACATAAATTTCACGTGGAAAAACTCCCAGATCCGAAAATATATTTTGAATATTTTGAAAGTGATAATGAAACATCAGATTGTGGTCCAGGATCAGAATTTTCGATAGAAAATAAGTTCAACTCATTTTTTATTTGGAATTTGTGACAGAGAGTCTAAAGTCCATTGTTATCAATATTAAAATCAAACCAACGACGATGACATTAATTGCACTGTTTTAATAAATAAACATTTATTAAACATAATTAATTTTTATTTAATTCCAAATTTTTCTGGGCAGTTCCAAAATTATTAGTTTACCTGATTCTATTTGTGTCATTCTAGTATTAAGTACGATGTATTTGAGTATTGAGTTTAGCTCTGCTGCATCTATGTTAACTCTTTGGTGTTTTAACAGATGGCTTTAGTAGTACAATAACATTATATCCATACCACATTATTAATGTTCATGTTTTTATGGCTATGAAATTATATTTTTTTGACAGATAACACATCTAGACGAAGTTAAATTACTATGTTAAAACACAAATCTAAAGGCGTGATAATTTTTCAGTCAAGTGTACCACAAAAATGCTCAGGTTATGGGATAGTGTTAGGTCTCGCTTCGCTCGCCCTAATAATGATATGAAAACCATTACTTCCCCCCACTACAAGATCAAAATTCACGTTTTTTTTGTAATTTTTATATTTTGTAATAAAGCATTAATTTATTTAAAAGTTTGCTGTAAAGTAAAAAGTAGACCCGATCAAATTTTGAAGTAAAACAACGTTTTATAAAAACATTTACTTTAATCTATTTTATGTACTTAGTAATGGTTTTGCTCTCAGTATAATTGCAATCACTTCAAAATTGTAAGCACTTCCCAAGGTACTTAATTGTGATAGAACTGTTGATTCCATTATCGCATATCATATAACAAGGGTTGTAATATGACTTATTATTCGTTGCACACAAAGGATGATAGATTTTTGAACAAGGGCAAGCAAAATTCAACATGTTGCTGGTAGTTGGTATGGACCTGAAATATATACATAATTATCTGACTTTGGTGTTGTCAAATATATCTAAAACAAACTATCTGTTTACTGTTTACATCATTTTTTTTTGATGAAGGTCAATGGGTTTTTTTAAAGCGTTTTGAAAGCAATTTTAAATAAATACAGTATAAAATACCAACCTATGATCAAACATCCATTGGCTAGATAAGTTTAAAGCGGTCGTTGTATTTTGAGTACTACTAACATTGCAGGAGGCTTGACCGATCATAATATCTGTGAAATACGTATATCTTTTATTATTTTTTTTATTACTAGAAGTACTATTCTGTTGCGGATAATACTGTTGTCTACATGTCCTCTTTTTTATGTTTCGTGATATTAGCTATATTTATACTGGAGCACATTAAACAGCATTTAAAATGTAAGTAGTTTATAAATTCATAAGCTTCTAGAATCTGCTTTAACTAAACCACACAAAAAACTTACACGTTAAAAAAATAAAGTCAAACATTTTTCGGTTTGAGAAATATTCCATGCGATAAAGCGATTGCCATTTCAAAGGAAATCGAACACGCTTCGATTTTTACTGCCGTCACTATGCTGGAGCTATTAATTAAGTACAGCCAAAGATTTAAAAGAAAATTAATTGCCGTGTTCGTGCAATTACGAGCATCAAACGGGGTTAATTTATTTTGACTACATTCATAAGCCCTTAAAGCCATGCTAATTTACCGGCGGGAGGTCAAGCTAAGTTAATTCATCTTAAATTCGAAATCTTAACAAAATATTAATATTAATACATACTTTATACATGATTATGTATATCACTAAATAGTATAAAATAAAGTCGTGCCGCTGTCTGTCTTTCCCTATTTATGCTTAGATCTTTAAAACTACGCAACGGATCTTGATGCGGTTTTATTTAAAAGATAGTGTGATTCAAGATGAAGGTTTATTTGTATTTGACGGGGCCCGTCACTAGTTATGGAACAAAATGAGAGCTGTGACAGCTCTGTCATCGGCAATGGCATTTTACTGCAGCGTTCTTGACCAAAATTTTTTTTTATTAATGAATAATAAAACCGACCAAATATCTCGCTCTGTATTCATTTTATAATTGATTTTAAGGAGTACGTATCTCCGGAGCCCAAGATCCAATACCAATGAAATTAATATGGGACCACATGGGAAGCACCAGCTTTCAAATAAAAAAAAGAATCATCAAAATCGGTTCACTCAGTCGAAAGTTTTGAGATAAAAAAATAAAAAAAATATATACAGTTGAATTGAGAACCTCCTTCTTTTTAACCGACTCCAAAAGGAGGTTCTCAATGCGTTTTAATGAATGCGTTAAGTTTTTTTTTGAATTCGGTTGAAAATGCGGGAAGTGGAAAGTAAAAAGTGGATGCAGGTAGCTCAGGATGGTGATTCACGGCAGTCTGTGGCAGTAGCCTACTGTGTAGCGAGTAACTACGGTGGTAGGGCCACGCAGCAGCCTCGGCTGTTGCACGAATGGGCAGGCCCGACCGGGTAAAACCACGACCTCACAGAACAGCGTAAAGTGGAAGTATGACAAATACTTTCGCGTTTCGTCTGGTGAGTGAGGCAGCCGGAGCCCATTTTTTTAAAATTTTTTTTTAAACTTGGCAATTTTCAAAAGGTTGTCAACGCATCTGTAACCCTCGGGTGCGGCAGATGTTCATGGGCGGCGGTATTCACTTAACATCAGGCGAACCGTCTGCTCGTTTGACAACATTTCGCATAAAAAAAGCCTACAATCAGCAATGGATCCAAATAGGCTGAATGATGATAATGTATGATCATCATCATCATACTGAAACAATCAATAACAATATTTCTGTATTATTATGAAGACTTTAAATCCTCGCTGGAAGTTGAAGTTTTTATTTCAGCGAAACCTCTTTGTCTGTGTAAACTGAGGCGGGTTATTAAAAGCGTCACTACTTTAAAAAGACTTACATATTCGTCGTGTAAGGGTATTTTTTATTAAATACGATTATATTTTAATACGTACATTTTAGCAATAATCGCTCAATAATACATAATTAAGATAAGTTAAAGATATAGATAGTAATTAAGAAGTGGTGAATAAGTTTAAAGTGAATTAGTTAATGATGTAATCGTGACCAGATCGTAAGGTCAAACATTCCTCTACTTTGTTATACGCGACGCGCTGTAAAAGCTATTTAGTTAATTCTTTTACATAAAATGAAAAAAAAAAAAAAGCAATCGTTTTTAATTCGTCAATTATTTTCAATTCTTCATATTTTAAGAAGCGTATGTTAAAGTTTTGGGTAGTTTTCCTTTTTCTGTTTAAAAAAAAATAAAAGGTTTTGTATAAACACTACCCAACGACGTTAGTAGGAATTTGTTCTGTATTATCCCACCTAGGTAGGGTCGGCACAACGTTTGAATCATGTTGTAGGCGGTTTTGACTATGTATATAATACCCGTATAAAATAATAATTCACTTTCAATAAATAAATGTTGTACCTCAAATAATGGTTATTGTAGATAATAGGTGAGAAATTAGGAAATTATAAAAGATCTCAAAACTTGTCTACACTCTAATGTTTTTATAGCTAATACAAACATAGGGACAGCAAACGACGCTGAGAAATTTCATATCACTTGCAATATCGTTATGTGCAACCAAATGCGACAAAGAAGATTGGAGTGTATAAAGTTGAGGCAATGAATATAAGACGTAACGAAATCCTTGAACAAAAATTTATTACTAAATTTTTTCCCTATTTATAAGATAATCATATAAGAGAATAATGGGGGTTATTGCAAAGGTAAGCAATGAAACATATCTATATTATGTAATTTCAAGGAAATCAGTAACTCGGTTCTACGAGCTATACTTTGTCACCTATGCTTGCTATCCTTATGGCTTTGGTTGTTACCCTAGTTCTCCTGTAGATAACTTCGAGTTGAAATCTATCATGCAGAATAATACCGAACATATGCCTTTCCCTTGGATCCGGAGACCGGGAAACCTGGAAGAGAGAGGCCAGTTTAAATCCCGCATCGTAGGAAATTTTTCGATATTTTTCTGGAAAAATCACATCTTAAGATACCTAATATCTTACTATATAAAAACATCGATTGTATCACTTACAGAAGTTGTTACATAGAAATTCGTAATGAAAAGTATATAGGTATATGAGAATTTTTCTTATAATCAAAGTCTAGCTTGCAAGATCAAGCGAAAACGGCCGTAACTAGCAATTTATTTATCTATAACCCCGTAAATTTGACCCTTTGAAAATGGGAAAGAAGATAAGAGGTTCTATTAAGGGCGGTGACGGTTAATAATTCTTTAGTTTCCTTCCTATTTGGTATTGATAGACATTATGAGACTTTTCTTACTGGTTAGCAACTTAGGCCTATATTCTCCTTCTAAGGTAGTCTGTTTGATCATTGTTGAATTTAGATATGAAGTACATGTTTCAGAAATGCAACCGAACATGGAATACACTCGCGTGAATCACATGTATTATATATATCTAATAACCTAAAACTTAAAAAATTATATATTCATTATTGTTTTCAGTGGCGTTATAATTTGTTTCGTAAGAAATTGTATGAGCTAAGTTGTTTTTATTTTTCTATATAATTATTGGAATTTGTATGGTACACCCTAGCGTTCTTGACATGTCAGTCGGACTAGTTTTGTAACATAGCATTTAATTTCTTTAGTATTTAATATTTTGTAACGTTTATTTACTCTTATTAATAGATGGTTGATATGAAAGACTCTTAGACAACTTTTATTTAATAATGATTGAAGTGGTCATCATCATCACGATTATATCTTACCCTTTAAATGAGCAAACGGCTCCAGCGATTTTCATGAAATTTAGTATGTGCGTAGATTCGGGGGCGAAAAATCGATCTAGCTAGGTTTCATTTTTCGAAAATGTCCTTTTATCCCTTTTTAGGGAATAAAAATATCATTCGAATATGACAGTAAATTTCGCCGCAAAAAAATGTTATAATAGCTCGGTCGGTAATCGGGCGGCCCCAAAACAGACGGCCGCGGTTCGTATCACGATCATTTACACACTTATTTTCCTTACTTTTTTTTCTATACCAGATCATTTTCTTGATTTTTTACTTTTTTTTATTTCCAAAATACATGATGTACCAAACAAAAAAACCTAGCAAAGCTCGGTCCTCCAGGTACTTTATATCTTAACGATACACTACTTAAATTATACTTCCTTTTCCCTGTCTCTATATATTTAAGGTTTGCAAATTTGTAATGCAAAACAATCACGTTTTTACAAGCTAAAGATGTGACAAAAAGAAACTTACGGAGACAAGATGAAGTAGTACTTCAAACAATTCCAAAAAGTAAACACTTTCAAAAAGGTAGCTTTGCATGTTGACCAAAATATTTCTGGACCTATTATTTACTAGCAAATAAGGAAATTTGAATTGGACTTTATATATTAGTCGTTTTATATTCACTTTCTTAAGAATATTACTGTAATTAAAAGATCTTTCTTAAAAGCGATTAAAAGGGATTATCGAAACACGTTCTTAGAAAGTTTAGCGTCAACGCTATTCCTTAACTCGCTTAAGTATTTTTGAGAATTACGTCACAAATAAAGAGGATTAATTTTAGATGTGTACGAAAAAATTTAAATCTTCTTTGTTTGACTCCTAATCTAAGGCGATTCAAAATTTAAATTACTTTAACATAATATATTTAAGTACTTAATACAATGAAGTAATATTAAAACATGAAAAACTAAACATAAGCAACGATAGGCTTCGGATGCTCCCTACTATTTTTTATCAATGAATATAAATAAAATTCCATTCCAACGAATTCAAAATTAAGTTTTGATTTTCAACAAAGAAAAGAGTACAGATACGAATATTTGAATAGCACAAATATTTGCTTAAGCTGTAACTCAAATTTACACATCGACTCAATGGCTGAATGAGAAAATTTTATCCAAACTTGAATCGCTTGCAAAATATCTTATCAGTTATTTTAACGGCTTTTGCATTCGTACATTTCACAAACAAGTTTTTAAAAAAGGGTTTTTTTTTAATCTCGGCTTAATATAAAAGAGCTGAAGAGTCAAGTGAAGAAATATTATTTTTAAAATACTATAAATTGATAAAGTTATATATTATAGGTACTTATAATTAAGAAATTGTAGCGCACGTGATTATTCTGATATATACATATTAAACTTATACATATTATATAATAATAATAATAATAATAGTTTACTTTATTGTACACCAAAAAATCAAAATGAAAAAGTACAAAAAAACAAAATATTTAACAAAATATTGGTCATCAAAAGGCGGCCTTATTGCTACACAGCAATTTCTTCCAGGCAACCTCAAAAATTTACCAAAAGGAATTGTTGATGGGTAGGATGTACATGAAGGAAAAATAATAATAATAATAGTAAAAAGAAAGTAGCAATTAAAATAATAAGAAAAACATACTTCAAGTGA